TCCATGGCGCCATAGAATGCGATTGCCGTCTATGCGGATGCAGCTGCCGCCATGCATGCATCGCGGCGCGATCCAACTCTGCGAAGCAGGTGGAGATGGCCTCTCACTTTTTGGCTGCTGAATCTATTCTTTATATTATTGTCTGGCAGAAGAGGCAGCTCTCAGTGCAGACGAGGCATTGGGTTGTGTCGATAGCCCTAAACGGGATGCCGCATTGCTGTGGCAAGGCAGTGCAAACCGCACTTCAGTTGTTCTTTTCCTTGGTGGGCAGTGAGCACCGTGTACTTCTACTCTTCTTGACTGCCCTCGCAGCCTCCTTGTCATTTGCCGTGTTTATGGAGGCTGCAGTCCGCAGTCTCCCCATTGGAAGTGTGCTCACTCCGTTGATTTAACTCTTACTTGTTTGTTTGCTATCTTACTGGGAGGCGCCACAAGCGTAGTGACTGCGGAGACAATGACGATGTATTGGCTCACTGTGACTGCAGATTGTGCCCATTGTTTCATTCTGTTTGCTCTTTTGCCTCACTGCCATTTTGCCTTTCTCAATTTACTTTGTCTACACACTTGGAAGGAAAGAGACCAAACGCTACTTGCTGCTGCGCGCTTTGAAGGCTCTGCAGCCACCACCAGCAACTCACACACACACACGCAAACACACACGCAATCGTCGCAGCCTGAGCGGATGCACCACAACGAGGGAAGGAAAAGAATGAGTGAGCAGCGACAATCCAACATGTGCCGTTCTCCGTTTTATTTTTCGGTACTGCTCCTCTGCGTGCTGTTGATATGCTTTGGCAGTACGGCTGTTTACGCCGAGAGGAACAAACCAAAGGAAGTGCAAATACCAGACCCTGTGGATCTTTTGGTGCCGAGTCGAACGATTGTGGAAACACAAGGTCAAAGCCAAACGAGGGAATCTTTTGCTTACCCTTCCCTCGCCAGTGCTGGTGGAGTGTTGGTTGCACTTGCCGAGGGTAACATATTCTTTCAATACTCCCGTGATATTCAGACTTCGGTCACTTACGCTGATGTTGTGGCGGGGTACGTTGACTCTGCGGAGAGCTGGTCGTCTTTTGTCGCTAAGGTCCGTGCAAACAAATCGAAGGCGTACAACATCTTTAACACGACCACGCAGGAGGAGCATAACGACCGTGTGAGATATGCGCCCCGACCCACAACAATTACAAAGGGCAACAAGGTCTTTCTACTTGTGGGGGGCTATCATCAGAAGTATGATCCTTCATCGAAGAAGTGGATTGTGTCCTCACAGGGTCTTGATTTGCTCGTGGGTGAGTCCACGCAAGATAAAGTCATCCAATGGGGCAAACCCACCTCGCTTTTGCCACACATCGAACCATCTATTAAACAAATTGGCCTGGGCCAGTTTGTTGGTGGTGGTGGCTCAGGCGTTGTGATGGAGGATGGCACGTTTGTGTTTCCTGTGACGGCGAGGAGGACAAAAGACAAAAAAGCTGTGTCCACGATCATTTATTCGAAGGACGACGGCAAAAATTGGGTGCTTCCACATGGGATGTTCCCCGCGGAATGCACTGACCCCCTCATCGTTGAGTGGGAGCAGGGGAAGCTTGTCATGGTTGCCAAATGCTATTCGCTCTCCAAGGTGTTCGAGTCGAGGGACATGGGGGCAACGTGGACGGAGGCTGTCTGGGCACACACACGCGTGCATCCCAGGTTTTTACCAGACTCTTTGCAAACAGCTGAGAGAGTGGGGTCCCTCACCACTGCGACCATTGCTGGAAAGAAGGTTATGCTGTACACTCAGAAAGGGATTCCCCCTGAGGGCACGTTGCAAGCCACCGCGCTCCACCTTTGGGTTGCTGACAACAGCCGCACGTTTCACGTCGGGCCCATTTCCATAGACACGAAGCCGATGTTAGCCAACACCCTGCTCTATTCGAAAAATACGTTGTACTTTTTACAAGAGAGGGGTACTTTCAGGGCAAGCAGCCTGGCTCTTGCTCCCCTAACGGAGCAGCTGAAAACGATCACGTCCGTCTTGGAGACTTGGGCAAAGCTGGACTCCTACCTCTCCGAGTTGTCGGTGCCCACGGCCGGTCTGGTTGGATTCTTGTCGGATGCATCGGGTGATGGAAGTTGGAACGACGCGTACCGTTGCGTGAATGCAACTGTGACGAATGCAAAGAAGGTCAGAGATGGCTTTAAGTTCACGGGGTCAAAATCATACGCCATGTGGCCGGTGAACATGCGGGCGCATCACTATGTGCACAGCGTTGTGAATTACGAGTTTACGCTTGTGGCGACGGTGACGATTCATAAGGTTACGAACGAAAGCGTTCCTCTGCTGGGCGCGGGCCTGAATGACAAGGAAAACATGACGTTTGTGGGGCTGTCGTACACCACAGAGGAACGGTGGGGGACAGTCTTCAACGGCATCACGAGAATAACACACAGCAGCACTTTGGAGCCGGGGAAGGAGTACAAAGTGGCGCTCATGCTGCAGGGCAACAAGGGCTCCGTGTACGTGGACGGCGTGCTTGTGGGGAATATTAATAAACTACCATCCCCTTAAGTCACGGAGGCATGATATCTCTCATTTTTACTTTGGTGGCGGCGAAAACAGCAGTGTGACAGTAAAGAACATCTTTTTGTACAACCGCCCACTGAGTAAGCAGGAACTCAAAAGGGTTGACCACTCCTATGCGTCCGGGAAACGCACAGTTGACAGCTCGCATGCATCCGAGCAACGTGCAGGTGATGGCTCACATGCATCCGAGCAACGTGCAGGTGGCAGCTTTAATGCATCCAAGCAACGTGCAGGTGATGGCTCACATGCATCCAAGCAACGTGCAGGTGATGGCTCACATGCATCCAAGCAAAGTGCAGGTGATGGCTCACATGCATCCGAGCAAAGTGCAGGTGACAACTCCACGCGTGCTTATGTGTCTCGGCTACTTCTGCTGCTATTGGGGCTGTGGGGATTTGCGGCCATGTGCTGAGTGGACCCCGGTGGACGGGAGTTTGTGCTTCTACTGAGGACATCTCCGTTTCTCCATGCGCTCTCTGAAGTAAATATTTTCTCATGTGGGCACGCATTTTTTTACGCTTTTTTTTCGTTTACGCATATATATTTTTTTATTCGTTTTGGACCCACAAATTGTGTTCTTTCATCGGCTCCAGCACAGCGGGGTCCTCATTTATTTTGTTTCGTCCTTTTTGTTTTTTATATTGCTCGCCGCTATCAATGACGAGGCTATTCACCGATTTGCTTTTTAGTGTATTGGTTCGGTATTTTGTTGGTTTACTGCTTTACGGATGTGTTTTTTTGTTGGTTTGTTGGTTGTTGTCTTGTCGGTTTGTTGTTGGCGAGGGCGTTGCGCCTGCGTGTTTATCTGGCAGCATGAGATGCTTCACTGCGCCACGGCACTGCGGTCGCTGCAGGAGGGAGCGGGGCTCTCTCTTACGTCCTGTTTTTTGGTGTGTGCGGACATGTGCCACGGTGCCGGATGACGCGCAGGCCATCGAATCAGTTTGAAAAGAGACGGATAAAAACAACAACTAACCGCTTTTCTTGGGCGGCTGCGGACGCTCTCGGCATTGTGTGTCCGCCGATGGGAGAAGGAAGGAGGAAGGAAGGAATGAGAGTCACAGCAACGCACTGCGGGCTCCTGTGGAAGTCAAACGGTGTCTGGACACCGGGGGCTCTCGGTAATTGAGGCGAATATGTAATTTGTTTTTATATGCGGCCAAAACAATCATTTTTTTTTTTAGGATAATAGAGGGGCCTTCCACGACAATATATTTTGCTTATGAAACCGTCTTTAGGAGTAATTTTGTTTTTGTTTTTGGTAAATCGTTTTTCTTGTTTGTTGCCACTGCGCGTGCTGCGGTCCCATTTTGAGTCTTAGTCATCGAGTTTTCCCATCTTTGCGTCCTGCATCTCTTCTGTGTGTGTATGTGCGTCCTCACACGCTTTGATCCTCTTTCCTCTTTTTATTTTTGTATCTGCAGGCACACACGTACACGACATATATTTATTGCAGTGCACGTGGAGGATGCTTTCGTAGTTGGTGCTGGCAGTGCCGCCGGGTGGCTGCTGCTGCCTTCTGTGTGGATGAAGAGGCCGAGGCAACGACAAAGGAATAATGTGCGCTGTGACTCACCCCCTTTCCTTGCGAAGGCAGTGCGCTGCGTGTGGGAGTGTTGTCTTGAAGCGCGGCGCCGCCAACTGAAACAGTGCGGCACGGGGTGGGTGGCTTCTTTTGTCTGAGTTTGCTGCTGCTGTGGGTGCGTCCGCACGGGCACTTTGTTCTGCCCCATCTTTGGGCCTTTCTTTTGGGTTGTGTGGCTTGGTGGCGACGGTGGCGGGGTGTTTTTTGCCTCCATTTTCATACGTTGCCGTGGCGGAGCCTTGCGGGGGCGTGCAGCCTATAAAAGAAATGCGGAAGATTGTGTGGTGCTCACTGGGTGGTGCGGTGGCCGCAGAGTGGGGCTGCCGCTTCTCCTCTTGCAGAGGGGAATATGCCGCCGCACTCTTTTTGTTGGTTGCGTCGGGGGCAAATGTGCCGGCATCTGACAATCTGCGGGTTCCACCGCCACGACGACCGAAGGAGGCGGAGACGTCTGCGGCGGCCTTCGCAGGCTGTGCCCCGTGCGGCCCAGTCGTGTGGCAAACAGTTCCCTCGCGGAATTCACGTGCACCGCACCACGTGCTGGGCGCAGCGTATATTTGTGTCGTGGGGGACAATGCGGTGGCGTCCATTCTTCTTCTTGCGAGTGAACGAACAGGGGCGGGGTGCTCTGCTCCTTCGCACCTCAGCAAATTGCAGCGCAAAATGCCACCGCGACGAGGCAGTCAATTTCACTGTGAGTGGGTGATATTTGCGTGTGACTACACACACACAGAGCTGTGGGGATCCGAATGTCAGGTGCAATACGAGAAGATAGAAGCCTCGTCGCAGTTGTTGTGTGTGCCGTGCAATTTGCACGGTTTGCCTAGGGAGATCTAATTTTCCCTCGTTGTTTGTGTAGGTGTGCGCCGCGTGCCGTGTGTGGGTGGCCCTCTCTCTCGTTTTTTTTTTTTCGTTGCGGCTGCGTGGAGTCGTGTCTCTGCCTGTTTTTTTATTAATCACTTCATTCTCCCTTTTGACTGCTGGTTGAGTATTGTGCTGCAGTTCAACTCAAGTTAACCACCACGAAGGAAAACATGTCTGAGAGACGCGAGGAAAGATTTCACGGCACCGAGGAGCCCCCGCGCAGCGCCGAAGGGTGGAAAGAGCACCGCAGCGGCCAAGGTGGACGCTTGCAAGCTCCATCGAGGATGTCCGTAATGTGCGGGTTGGCCAAATCAATATAATTTTGCTGAACGACTTCCTTCGGCAGTACATTGGCCCCAGCAGAGTGGTGGGTGAAGACCAAAATGTGGTGATGGAGGTGTTTGTGTGCAGGAAGGTGGTGTGTGTGTGTGGAACGTCATTAAGCGAAGCATCGACAACTGGCCTTCTCCTGATATTTGTACTGACATAAAGTGGTCGTACGTTTGTGGTTGGAACAGCGGGCATTGGCAAGTTGCTGGTGATGGGGCCCTTTGTGCTGCACGAGCTCCTGCACTACGACGCCGCGAGGGTCACGGTGGTGGCCTACTTTGTAGAAGGGTCAGTGTGCCTTTTCCACAAAACGGGAGAAATGGCAGGGATCGTAGTGGAATACGGATGCACCAGTGAAGGCTTGTGGGCCATCAAAAAAAAATAGAAAGGGCTAACGTAGGGGGTTACTATATTTTTGATGTGACTAAGGACCATCGAGTTGTGGCGGGGCTGCCTCGTCGACGGTGGGGCGGAGTTGTGTTGAATACGCCTGATGCAAGCAACTATGAGGGGTGGAAGAAACAACGTAATGCGTTTAACATTTTTGTGAACGGCTACGATGCACGAGAGATGAAGGCGTTCTTTGCGTGGCAGGAGCGTGATTTGCTGCGTGGCTTGCAGGGAAGCAGTGAGGGTAGAGCAGACCTTGAGGAGAGATGGCAGAGGATGAAGGACCGTATTTGTGTGGTTGGACCGCTCCCTCGCTACGTTTTTGATGAGGACCATTACTCAGGGCGCTGTAGCGCAATTAAAACTGCGCTGTTCAACACGTCTGACATATGCTGGGAGCACTGCGCAAGGCTTTTGTTTGGCAAGGTTGAGTGGGGCGAGGACGGGACTGCGGACAAGCTGATCAAGGTGCTGCGTGTGGTGAGGGATGCGTCGGTGGTGGTGAGGCCCAATGCGGGGAATGGAGAGGACGCGGAAAGCTGCAGGAATTTTCCCGTTTCAGTTGAGGTCAAAAAGAACATTGCGGAGGCGGGTGCTAATGAAGAACTTTAGGATGTCCCGCCTGCTGTCCGCTTTGGGAACGTGGAGTCAGTCTGCAGCTGATGATCTTGAGTGCTTGGGCTGCGTGGCCTTTCTGAGCAGCGACGTCGCTGAAGCGGTTGCTCGCCAGATGAAGCACCTTCCCCGCAGCGAGGGAGTAACGCGGGCCGGTGTGTTGGCGAACGGGCATGCGGTGGGCTGCTTTCCAAGGGACCCCTGCGTGGTCGGATGCATGGCAGGTGGAGATAATAGAAGGGTAATAATCCAGACCAAACTTTAAGCTGGCGTTCTGTATATGCTCAACAAGTGCTTTTTCCCCTTGCTGGACGCGTTCTACGTGGCCGAGGTGTGCAACGAGCGCAAACGGCCAAGAAAAAAAATTAATTTGGGCGGTCCCGAAATGCTGGCGCCGGTGGGCACAGCGGTGCGGAGAAAGAAGTGACGTTCATCGGGGCTGCAGGTGGCAAAACACAACACCCACCACACCACTCCCGGTAAGGTGGCTGCGTTTCTGAAGTACATGACGTGCAACTTCAAGGGCTGGGAGGCGCTGTGGGAAAAGATGAAGTGGGAGATCATTTACATTCAGCACGCTGAGAGCACGCCAATGACGGGAAGGCGGGATTGCCATGTCACGGAGGGAGAAAAGGAGGTGCCGAGACTTCAGGTTGCCAGAGACTTTTGGGAGAGAAGGGTGGAGCAGTGCCAGGTGCAGCTTGACGCGGAGCTGGCTGCCCAGCTGATTGTTGCTGCCAGCGAAGGCCGCTCAGGACAAGTGACAGGGACGTGGAGTGTGTTTGGGAATTCTATTCCCTGCTCGTGTGTTACATGGTGTTGTATGGGTTTGTGTTGTTTCAAGACATTGTTTCAGTGCGTTTCTTTCTTGGTGGGGAAGGAAGGGTGGCGGCATGGCTGGGAGTGGGGGAGAGGCGAGTTGTATTATTATTGTGGTTGGTGTAGTGGGCGGAGTGGCGGCTTCCTCGTGTGTATTGCAGCGGGGGTGGGGTGCTTTGCTGAGAGAAGGCGGTGGGGGGAGTGTGCCACCCGCTAAGGCTGAGCAGACGACAGATGGTTTTGTGTGGTTCCCCTGCTTGTTTTGCGAATGACTTGATTTTTAGCTTTCAGCGATGCCGCGTTGGGGAGCAGCGCGTGTGTTTTTTATTTTCAGTTCTTCCACGCCACACCCCCCCACTGCAACTGATGGTAATAATGACACCCTCCAATGCAGAAGGGAGTCGGGTGGTTGCGGAGCGCACCGAGCCAAACTGCGATCCCCCATTGTGCATCCTTCGCTTTTTAGGAGTGGGAGCCATATGGCCTCATCCGGAGGCATATCTTATAATTTTTTATTTTTTGGTTTCATGACATTTTCCGTGAGTCTTTTGGTCGGTTCCTTGCGGCGGTGGGGTCGATTGCCTTTTCGGGTGCTGGGAATTACTCTTTTCGTTGGGATTGGGCATGCGGCCGTGGCGCGGCGAGGGCGCATTTCACGGAGTGGTGAAGACGTCCCCCGGTGGCAGAGGGGAGGTGTGGCGGCGAGGTGTGTTTCTCGGCGCACCGATGGGTGAGAAACTGGCAGATGAAATAAAAGAACAGCCGGCAACGAACATGGGGATGGAGGAAGGGAGTATGTGTATGTATAATATATACACGTATTGGTGGAGCTCCGGGATTTCCATTTGTCAAAGGAACTAGCAACGCGGCCTGTGGTCGCAATCATACGGGCAGGATCTCTCTGTCGGCAAGACACAGCCCCAACACAAGTGGTTGTCTGCAGCAGGCTGGCACCGGCGACGGTTGTGTGCGCTGCACGCAAGACCCTAAATGGGGCACCCCACCGAGGCCGCTGTATTGCTGCAGAAGGAATAGTACCCCTGCGCATGTGGGTTGGGGGTACGGGGTGTTGGCGGTGAAGGGCGGTTGAGCCACAGGTTGCTGCGGCGGCGCCGGCACAATGAGGCAGTTCAGTAAGTGCACAGCGAGGTGTATGTGATAAAATGGGGATACATGCGTTGACGAGTTGTTGCGGGGGAAATTATTTACGTGCGGCACGCTGCGAGTGCGCCAAATAACACAGGTGGCGGGGGCGCGACGGCCTCACGCCCCGAGTGCTGCTCAGCGTAAAGAGGAGGAGAGCACGGTGCATTTTTGGCACCGGAAGGTGCGTCAGTGCCGGTTGGGGACGTCGTATGGAGGCGTACGTGCCGTGCGTGGTGGTTGAAGCGGTTTCTTGTTTTCCCCTGAGACTCTTTGAGGTGCCTCACTTTCACGAGCACCGCGGTGCGGCTGGGAGGCGGGCGATTGCATTTGGGTTTGTCCGTAGCGGTGCCGCTGCGAGCGTTTGTTTTTGTGACCGCAGAGGGAAGGCATCTGCTGCGTGTGTCTTGTCGTGGTGGTGCTGCGTGCCCCGTTTATTTTGTATTGTTTTTATTGTTCTTTCAATTTCATTTTTGACGTTGCGCCCCACTCCTGCTGCAGTGCGCTAAGGGTGGTGGGGGCCGTGATGGGGAGGTCCTGCCGGCATGCGCACTGCGTGGTGATGCTGGCGGGGTTTGAAGGGGCTGGGCGGGGGAGACGGTAAGCGACGTGTTTATGAATTTGTTTATTATTATTTTTGATTTGTGCGGGTGCGTCACAAACTGCGGATGCTCCATGCAGGTGCGCGTGGGTTTTTCTTTGGGCGGCGGCGAGTGTGTGATCGTGCAGCCCACGCGTTTGTCGGTGCGGCCTCAGTTTTGGATTGTCGCTGTTTTTTTGCGGTGAGCCCAACTGTGGACGCCGGCGTTGACTATCGTTGTATTCCTTTTTTGTTTTTTGTCCCGCGGAAAAGGTCTGCGCCACCACTACTACTGCTACTACTGCCACCACCAATAATGCCGCTGCTGATGTTCAAACGGAAGCAACACAGGCAGTTTCTTCGGGCGATGTGCCAGCCACCCCGCAGCATGCCGTTTCTATCACTGGCGGTGTTTTTGCTGTTGTTGGTGTGTTGCGCCGCTGGGTGCCTCGCTATCGATTCCACCCGGAAGCACCGCTGCGGGTTTGACGAGATGATGGGGAGGTGGCCGCCGGCGACTGCGGTGGTGCGTGACGTGCCGCGCAGAGGACAGGGCGAGATGCAGGCGTACACCGTCGCCGCACAAGGCGTGGGGAGTGAGTGGGCCCCGATCCGCATCAAAGTGTCTGCGAAGGATATGG